ATAAGCCATTTCTGTATAAACCATTCATGTTGAAGAACACCGGACTTTTAGGTTAGACTCAATTTTTGAAAGCTAGGAGAAAGACTTGGGGGTAGTTTATGACACAGCAGAGGATGTTCTGATACAACTTTGAGTTAATGTGGAAGGTCAGTATGGACATTAAATCAAGGTGAAGCTATTTTCTTTGAAAGTATTAAGAAGTGAGGGAAAGCATCAGAGCCTCTTTACCCCCAGCTGCTACATTCAATGGATTTCCCAAAAATTTGAAAATATAGCGTCTCATTTAGTGTTCTGCATTTTCAAAGTAAGAAGCAAAGTCAAGGACAGTTCAGTGTCCACAGCCCTACAAAAGAGGTAGAAGTCAGACTCAGTGTTTCTGATATTGATTCTCTCTCCCCCCAGTGGATTTTCCCAGATCGTCCTTTGTATATTCACCCTTTACCAAACTTAAAGTGGAAAACCGTTTGATGTGTTTCCACTACATCATTTCCCTCAAGGATTTATGCTCATGGCAACAGCAACAGGAGTTTCTTCGAAGATCTTCTAAGCCCCAGTGGGGAAGTGTGATAAAAGAAAGACAAGACAGCAAAAATGTTGACTTGCTATTTATAGCTTATATTTTATTTGCTGCAAGTCTTGAAATTTCCAGTGGGTTCTTCTACAATTTAAGGCTACACTGATAAGGTCTTTCAACACGTAGATATTTTCTTTAATCATTAACGATCATTAAATTTGATAGACAAAAAAGGAAAATGGGTGAATCCATACTTCATAACCACTGCACTTCTTTGACTTATTGTCTTCCAGAGCATTGTTTCAAATTCAGAAAAAACACTTTGTTATTTTTTGTGGAAATAATCCATGTGGATTTAAAGTTGTTTCCAAATCTCAGGATGCTGTATATTCTTCCACAAACAGAAACAATTGGATAGATAGGTACAAATATGTTATATCAGTGTTCTATATGTATAATATGTATATATATCTGTCTTTTTTAAAGTTCCTGTTTTCACTTAAAGGTATAGGATATAATAAAATTCCTGCTATGAAATATAGCATCTCTCATAGCAGAGTTTATCATTCTCATTCACTGTCTCATTTATCCACTTTTAGCTGTTTGGAACTCAGGTATTTGTTTTTTCTTACTCAAGTTTGTGACAGTGGCATTCTCTTCAGTAACAATTATGTCCATGTATTTAGTGTTATTAGCATATATAAGTATATCCAGTACCCCCCCAGCAGTCCTTCCAGTGTAATACCTATCTTTTTGACTTGATGATACTCTTAATTGCCTGCATTTTGTCTTTAACTTTGTTTTAGAAAGTGCAATATTCTCTGAGCACTTTTGTGATTGAGGATGTGGCTATTTATATAAAAGATGATATATAATGTTCTTGAGAGACACTGCTTCATTGCCTTCTGATGTTGAATATTATCATATGGGAATCTGATTCCCCTTATGTTTTTTTCTTTCTGGGCTTTGAAATAACTCTTCACTTTCAAGTACATTAGTTTAATTTATGTATATCTTATTATTAAGAATTGCATATTTAATTTCTTAGAAACATGGAAAATCTTTCAATCTTAAGATTCAGAGTTGTTTTGCAGGGAAATTATCCTACTATTTTACCTGTGAATATATGACTATATATTCTGTCCCATCAGTAGACTCAGGACATCAGGAATACCAATTATTTTTCCATTACATCAACTTTACTTGTTCTCTTCATATATAGATGTGGCCCTAATTACTTTCCTTTTTCCCTCTTATCTATGTTCAGTATGATTATCTCATCTGCCCTATGGTAGTTACTTCATTGACTGTGGTGGCTGTTATGGTACTTGTGCCTTCTAATTTATGTATTGCTTCTGCAATGATGTTTTGGTTCTTGATTTATTTCCTTAGTCCTCTACCCGCTTTTTCATTCCATTCTCTTGTGTTATCATCTAGCCTTTGACCTCTAGTTCTAGTGAATTAATTTTCATATTAGATGAACCCATTATATGATGTAGCTTGAAAAATTTACTTCTGTTCCTGTCATGATATTTTCTTCTGGGTTGAATGCTTTGTTTCTTATATCAAGTCTCTCTCATTTCTCCCTCCATGCCCTATCACTCTCTGTCTTAGTCTGTTTTATTACTGTTGGTTATATTACATTACAATATTCAGTATAGGTGTCTTATATCTTAATCATATGTGAGTAGTTGTGCCCAGAAATTCAACTTGTTAATATAGTAGAAATTACTTCTTCATTTATTTACCACTCTTTCTCAATCCCTTGAGCTCATGTTTGAAGGCTGAATGTTTGCGGAGTGATGCATTTTTAAATAACCAGCAGACGTAGTATGAGGGTGGCTTCAGCTGAAGCAGCATTGGATCTCTTTTACGATACTTTGCTGGCTTCTGTTGTTCCCTAATCCTGTCCTTGGTAGAGGGGATTGTATTCAGTTTTTCAACCAACTCTTCAGTTCATTGGTAATCCAAGAGTCTTTACCATGGCTAAAGTAATCATCATCTTTTATGTGTCTCTCATTAGCCATTATAACTTCTGTGTAGTCAGAAAAGGAAAAATCTAGGCTATCTATAGATTTATCATTGGCCTATGCTTGGAGTTGTGAGCTGAATAATTAGATTTTTGCAAAAACTCTGAGGCAGTCTCTAGGGTTTAATGGCACTTAGGGAATTAAATCTTTCTCTCTCTCTCTACTCCAGAAATATGTGTGTGTGTGTGTGTGTGTGTGTGTGAGTGTTCTGGGTCTTAATTTTCATTTTATTAGTCATTAGAGGAGGAAAATTTAGTTATGTGTTTGAATGAATCATTTTCTCCATTAACTGTACTAAAGGATTTTCTTATAGAATATCTGCAATTAATAAGAAACTGAAAAAACAAATTTTCTCCAATAATTTAATATAATTCTCAATGCACAGTTTAAAGTATACAGAATCAGCTCTCATGCATGAAACTTTTTTATAGACTTATAGAATAGTCACACATTTTAACTTTAAATACTAGGAGGACATACTAAAATATATTTGAGCAAAAATAATAGGATTGAAATTTCTGTCATTTTTCAGTATTAGTAACAGAATAATTTTTTACCTATTAATATCATAAATGTACAGTATGTGTGAGTTAAATTTTATAACTTGGTTTTTAAATTTACTTTAGATCAAATTGAAAATTGAACAAAGAAAGGTATGTATAAATTATATGTTTATGGACATATTTTTGTGGGTATTTTTCACACATGATATTTCAAAGATAAGTATTCTATGTAATGGCATGTGTTACACAGGAGTATAAAAGAACATAAATACATCTAAGAATTTATAGAAATACATATAAATGTGTCAAATACACACACATGTATATATTCTATATGCATACAAACTTAATTGTTATAGCATTTCCAGTGTCTCCTGAAGCCCACTGATATTGCATGAATCAAAGGCATGGCCATGACATCGGTATGAATACTGAAATAGGATCCTGAGATAATCATCCTATTACTTTTATCACTGGTTTGATCCTTAAAGAATTGTTCTTCCAATTTTTTCCTGGCTCTACAATTAAAGAGAGAAATGGAAAGCTTAGTCAGGATTTAGAGAGAAGCAGCCCTGATTACAGAAGGAGCTGGAATTGAAGAAGGATAATGGGATTATTTGTCTGGATAAAGAAAACTGTGCAGAGAGATCTGAAATCATTTCCTCGCATATATGAAGGACTCTAAAGGTTGAAGATCAGATGGTTTTCATCCCACGGCTCTTAAAGCAGAAGATTTGGAAGGGAGGAAGAATTTATCAGCATACTGTAGTCAAAATAAGTAGCACTAATGAGGCATGGGAAAAATTAAAAATGTATGAATTTTAATTTTTCTGACTAAAATATCTTTGCCAATAATGGCAGAATACCATATAGTTTGATACTCTAATATTCTGTTACTATAATATTAGAAGAAAAGCTATTGTGATTTCTTCAGTGTTGTTCCCCAGTGGGCTTTTCTGTTACTATTATGTATCAACAGCCAGCAAATGATAGCATGTCAAGTAGTTGCTCTGTCCGTTGACGAAATTGGGTTGTTGAAGCCCCTCATTATTATTGTGTTAGAACCTATGTCTCCCTTTATATCCATTAACATTTGTTTGAAATATCCAGGCACCCTGGCTCTGAGTACATATACATTTATTATAGTCACATCATCCAATTGATTTGATCCCTTTATCATTCCATAATTCCTTCCTTTGTCTCTTCAAACAGTTTTTGTGTTAGTCTATTTTGTCTTATATTAGGATGGCTACACCTGTATGTTTTTGTTTTCCATTAGCATGGACTATCTTTGCCATTCTTTGACTTTCAGTCTGTCTGTATCTTTATTGGTGATGTGTATTTCTAGGCAGTATGTATCTGTTAATTGGATAATTTAGGCCACTTACATTCAAAATTATTGATAAGTAATGATTTGGTCCTATCATTTTTCCATCCATATTTCTATTGTTTTCTTCATATTTCCTTTGTGTTGTTACTAGGAAATTTTCTGCCTTCATATTCTTCCAGAATGATGACTATTGTTTTGTTACAACTATGTTACTTCCTTTAACACAGGAAAGAATTTTAAGATTGAGCTTTAAGAACTTTAATAAATATTTCAGGAAACAACAAAGCTCAATCTTTTCTCCAAGTAGCAATGCAGCATCATTTTTGCTTTTGATATTTTATTTCTCATAAGAAATAATATTATTTTGGAGGTATCATTTTTATGACATTAACCAAACTTCTCATTTATACTAATATCACTGCAGCAGATGGTGGAAATGTACATTTTATTCTGTGAGTTCTTAGCATCAATAGCAGATGTTTCTGAGCATGTGCTGAGGATGTGGACCTGTAGTAGGCACTGAGATGTGAAGATAAATATTAGTCCTTAGCTTGCTGTATAGTCCCTGATGGCTGACAACATACCCTGATAAAGCAATATATTTCAGAAAACATGAGACTTACATTCTTTGATGATGTATGGTATTGCTTCTAGATGCTTCTACTTCCATGCAGGGGGAGGAGAGAGAAATCGCTCGTTAGGACAAAGTATGACTTCCTGGGACCTTCTACCAGCACACTTATTTTCTAGAAGGCAGTGAACATCAAAAATTGAAAATTTCATTTGGTGTAAGGAAACAGTTTTACTGATAATGGTGGGAAGGAACAAAATATACACAAATGAGCAAAAATCAGTACTCATTACTCACTGAACAGTGAAAAACAGACTAAAAATGGCTACTAAAATGCATATGTATTTCCCATATGAAGCACTGTAATCACAGCTACTTTACTATTAATTTGACTCTGAGCAACATGTATGGTCAAATTTGACAATATGCCAAGTTCTCCTGTGGAAGAGGAAAAATTTTACTTTTTAAAATTTTCTTCTCCTAGGCAAAGTTTTGAGGGACTGAAATGGTGAGATTCATTGGCAAAGATGTGTTCTATTTATAACTTGCTTTGAATTGCAAATTTCCATCATGAAGCCACTACTTTGATGGTAGTGGTTTCAAAATTCAATAAATTAGTGTATCACATACTATGAGAAAATAATAATTTGTTTAGAATAGTAACATTTGAGTACTAAAACAGATGTTGCTGAAAAACAATAGGAGTATGTCCAAAGTAAATATCATACAGTTATTTTTATTTTGTGTCATTCAGCCAGTTTCAGCAGAGAGTGAGTCTATCATATTAACTAAATCCTTATGAAACTCTGGAGTTACAGGGAAACTAACCTTTCTCATTTTATGCTCTGGATTATCTGTGACCTATCAGCTTCCTTTTATTTCTTACTTCCTCATCATAACTTCTATGGCATTGTGTATTTTTCAGTGTGTGGGTCAATTGAAAACAAATAACTTGGGTATTCAGAATATTTTTTACCTTTTTTTCCGAAAATGTTGATTTTTTTTCTTCTTTCTTGTGGCAAAACAGCATTAGCTACCACTGTTGAACTGCATTTGGGAAAAAAATAAAATGACGTGTTATACAGGAGTTTCAATACAATGAGCTATAAGTCTTTGGAATGAAATGAATTATAAATATGTTCTATAGCAGAGCAGTGTTTTAAACACAGTGAAGACCTCACCAGGCAGGTTCTCATCCCCACCCACTCACTTTTATTTTTTCTTTCTTTGCAGTTCCACCCTGGTTTTTAAATCACCCTTCCAACCTCTATGCCTATGAAAGCATGGACATTGAGTTTGAATGTGCAGTCTCTGGAAAGCCTGTGCCCACTGTGAATTGGATGAAGAATGGAGATGTGGTCATTCCTAGTGATTATTTTCAGATAGTGGTAATTATCTTTGTTCATATGAGCTTTAAATCCCATCCATTGTTTAATATTTTTTCACTTTTCTTTCCTGGGAAGAAGTTTCCTATTGGGAATTTTTAATGCCAAGAAAATTATTTTAATGAGGCTAGTGATTTTCAAAGACAAAAGGTGAGAAAAAAGTCATCAAACACTCCAGCCCCCTTCAAATAGATAAATGAAGAGGAAATGAAGAAGAAACACAGGGCCTAAGACTATTCGACCTAGTTCTAGACCATATTAAGTTTTTTTTTTCTCTTTTTCCCCCTTTTTCCATTGTTTTCTCTTTTCCTCACTTTAGTAAGATTCAATAAGATATGCTACTTATGAATATGGTATTCTTACTTTGATAATACAAATAGCTCTTTTTCCACTACCCTTCCATGAACAGTTGAGAAGGCAGTGGGGATGGAAACTGGAAAAGTAGTGGTAGCAGCAGTGACTGTAGAGGTGGAGAGACCTCAGATTCAGAGCTGAAATTAGAAAGAATTAATCCTAAGGATAATAGTTGTTCATATGGTTTCCCCTAAGTCTCTGCCCCTAGCCTCTGAGAGGTAGTATGTTTTAATGCTACTGCTTTCTCTGAGTTCTCTTACAAGCAACAAGTGCTCAACACAAACTACTGTTTTTTGTTTTTTGTTTTTTTTTGCTGCTGCTGATTTTGCTCATTGGAAAATGCTCCATTGAAAACTTCCCTTAGGTGTTTGTTAGCACAGAAGGTTCTGATTTCAGAGAGGTGAGAATATGAGAAATATAAAATGTATTTTCTGAATAGCAAGGAATTTCACAGCTAACTGAAAGTATTGTATGGCCACTTTTCTTAGGTTAAAGATGTGACTGGAATCCCCATTAAGGAGGAGCTGTCCCCTAAACCAGGTGTCTCAGACAGAATGGGCCTAGAACATAAGCACCATAAAGTCCAGGCACAAGCTCTCCTCTCAACATTACACTGCCTCTTTCCCATCAGTGAACTTTCAGAAACTTTTTAATCTCTTTGTGCATGCATTTAGGCATGCTATAAAAATCCTTAAGGAATAGATCCATGAAACATATCTTTATCACTTTTATCACAATTCACCATTTTTCATTTTTATTAGCATTTGTCTAATTGGTGGGAACAGAGTAATGACTGGAAAAATATAACTTTTGAATGCCACAGATTCTATTCCTTTGAATGCAGCACTATTTCTACCTCTTCAGAATTAGAAATGACCTGCCATTGGGCAACTTGAAAAGTGTTGTATATGCTGAAAATATATGCTGCTTGCATATAAAGGAAATTGCAGAGTGCCCTTAAGGACACATGATAAAATGTAACATTTATTTTTCCTACAGTTTGAATAATTTTTCTCCCAGCATGACTCATTACAGCCAGCCTATTTAAGCACTTTTTTCTTAAGGTGAATGAAAATGTACAGTGTGTACACTATTTGCATTAAATTGTGCTTAGAGATATTTTCCCAATAGCTCCAGAAATCTGAGAGTCATTTTCAGTAGCGCATATAACATTGAGCACAAATGGTAACTTATATGAAAATTGTTAATTAGAAGTTAGCCAGCTTTATCTAAGAATTTTACATCAGCCGAAAATTGACTACAAGCCACTAAAAACAATTAAGAATTCCCCATGAGGTTATATTTATCTCTTAATGACTCCAAGGGAAGTGATTTAACACGTTTTACTTACTGAACTACTTCTTACAGGAATACTGAAGATAAACTGAGTTACTATAATTAAATGCTATCACTAGATCATTTTATCAGCCATCCTGAAAAAGATGGTGGCTCAATTTATGTAAAAGAGGAGTTAACATTGCTGTATTTAATCGATGGTTTGCTGAAGGTGAAACATTTCAGTCATAGAATAACAACACAGATATGAAATAACCACTCTAGCCGCCTCTCCAAAGCACCAAAACGTTATTTGTCAGAGCAATGACTAATTTTTAAAGGATTTTACCAATCTGTTCTGGGTAAACACTTTGAGAAAAAAATCCAACCCTAAAATTCTGGTTCTTTGGATGGTGCAAAATTCAGTGTTTTGTTTTTCTTTTTTAGCTTTATTTTTCTTGAATAGCTCTTGAACCTGAGCTTCCATCAGTTAACAAGCAGAGCAGTGATTTCTTTGGAAGCTAATCACTGTTTCTTCCACATGTGATAGAAGAACTTTCTGTTGACTGCTCATTTAAATATTAAGCTTGATATGTAGTTTTGTGAAAATGTTCTTGTTACAGAACTAGATTGAGCTGATGCCCAATGAATTTGGAAAAATTATTGGGAACATGTGACTTTTCCAGGAGGCTTAGGTCATAAGCACGAGGCTGAGAACCCGCAAGCCTCCCTTCTTCTCTCTTCTGGAACGTGTTATAAAACTGTTGACTATGTTAATTTTGTCACTCTGAGGTTTTTCTTCTTTTGAAAACATTTCATGTCCTGTTTCTTCTCCTTTAGGGAGGAAGCAATTTACGGATTCTTGGAGTGGTGAAGTCAGATGAAGGCTTTTATCAATGTGTGGCTGAAAATGAAGCTGGAAATGCCCAGAGCAGTGCACAGCTTATCGTCCCTAAGCTTGGTAAGATGACGAAAACTTTGCTCTAATACGTGGAATTACAATTATGTGTAGTCCTTATCATTTTCCTTATCTCTTTATTTCAATATGAAATCAGTTACTTAAACAAAATATACATGTGTGTGTTGACAATATGCTCCTTCTAGTGAATTATACATATATGTACATACATACATATATATATTCTGTCTCAAATTATGTAAAATCACAAACAATAGTGGCTCTGTTTACAAGACAACAACTGCTAAATTATTACCTTCTCCCTCTTTTATAGCCTGCCTTTCATCCAAGTGGTCCATATGATTATGAAATATTTTATATGTATGTATCTTGTACTCATATATACATTATGTTTGCATTTTAGTTATATAAATTTACATTCATGCATATATGCATATATAATTAAATTTAAAGACTATACATTTATACTTATACATTGTGTTGAATCAATGGAAGTTGGAAGACAAAGACAAATAATGCTCTACAGTGAAGTTAATTTTCTCTTCTTTTAAGTAGATATGATTGTCGTTTTAGTTTAACTGGTAAATTTTTTATTTGGTTTTGATTTTATAGTCTTTTGGGGGTATGCTATGAGGATATATGAAAGTTAGCAAAAAATTACATTAGGCCTTTCATATAATATCCTGATGACAACACAGTTCCTGTGGTGAGAGAGGTTGAGGTGGGAGAGCACTAAAAGGAAGAATGAACTCTTCCACCACCCAGAAATGTTGAGCATTAAAGAACTTAAAAACTATTCATGATTTTAAAGGAGGGACTAAGCAATCGTGTATGTAGATCTAAATACTATTAAATATTAAGTGTTACTATAAATGTTTTCATAACATGTTAGGGTACAAACTAATTTCAACTCTTTTAGTCAAACTTGTCTTTAAGATAAATGTCCTTCCTGTTGGCTTGACTAACTGTTGCCCCAATCTTTCCCTAAATTAAGTTTAATAGGAAATAGATGAAATATGTGAGACATTGTCAGTCTTGTGCTTCTATCATTTAAAATGTGCCTATTAAGTCCTTATGTTTTGTGCACCCTTAGCCAATAGTACAAAAATAATGCTCACATAGGGGAATTTCTCTTTTTTCTTGATTGAACTAAGAAAGCAACTATAGAACAACAGTTCCAGATGAGTAAAGGAACTAAAAGAACTATCTAGAAGTTAAAAGGGACTATTAATTCTCTTTTGAGAGTGCTGACTTCTCTGATGGATGACTTCTTTTTTCCCCATCTGGTGTGTTTTAAGTGCCAGTGTAACTTCATTTATGTGACGAAGTCCATTCTCTTCTGCTGAAAATCCTGCCAGAGAAGAGAAAAGGAGTCACTAAGATCAAGGTCTCTAATGTGAGCTATGCTTTAAAACTGTGTGCCATCTCATTAGGAACAACTAATATGGCCGTGTTTGAGGGAATGCTGGCTGCCACACAAGTCCTAGACCAAAAGAATTCTAGTTACCCCTGAGTTTTCAAAGCCACAAGAAAAATCTGAGATGTTATCCCACATATCTGAAGGAGCTATGAGCTGCCTCTTCCTACAAATGTTTGGCACTGACGGAAGGACCATTGGTCATCCCCGTGATAATTTCCTTCCCCAACAAGTCAAGTTGCAGGGGGACCAAGAAAGCCCCTTGGACAGACTGTATATGTTTCCATCTTTGCTTGCCCATGTATGTGTGTGTGTGTGTACCTGTGTGTGTGTGCCTATGTTACAAGGATGGAAACTGGGTAACTTATTGTGGCTGGAAACTGGAGCTGTCCACAAAATAGTGTGGAGGAAAGGGAGGGAAACAGTGGAAAGAGCAGGGTGTGTACGCCACTTGAAAAAGCAGGACCGAGGCCAGCGCCATGGCTCAACAGGCTAATCCTCCGCCTTGCGGCACCGGCACACCGGGTTCTTGTCCTGGTTGCCCCTCTTCCAGGCCAGCTCTCTGCTGTGGCCCGGGAGTGCAGTGGAGGATGGCCCAGGTGCTTGGGCCCTGCACCCCATGGGAGACCAGGAGAAGCACCTGGCTCTTGGCTTCGGATCAGCGTGATGCGCCGGCCGCAGCGCGCCGGCCGCGGCAGCCATTGGAGGGTGAACCAACGGCAAAAGGAAGACCTTTCTCTCTGTCTCTCTCTCTCTCTGTCCACTCTGCCTGTCAAAAAAAAAAAAAAAAAGAGAGAGAGAGAGAAAGCAGGACTGAAAGTTTCTTGATGGGAACCCTGCCCAAGAGGTCCTGCCTAAGCTCAGGCCTCTAGAGGACAGTAGGGAGTCTTGCTAAGCTGGGCACTGGTGAAGAAGGTCAATGAGGAAGGCTCCCCAGAGGGGACTTCTAAGGTACGGCATCTTTGAAGACTACTCAGAATTGCGTGCAACAGTCCTCCACTACTGTGGACTTTTGAGAACACAGTTTGAGAAAAACAGACTATATCTTACATTCAAGTCTGTCCTTCCCTCTCTCTAACCCTGGGGAAGCCCTAAAAAGAGGGGAAATACACCCAAGACACTAAAAACACACTGGCTCCTCCCTGTTTTTGGGCTCAGGCCTACTTCAGAGAGTGGGTGCAGCCAGGCTGCAAGTGGGTGGGTTAGGGGTGGGTGTGGGGGCGGGGGCTAATTGAATATCAGTTTTCAGTTTTGATTTAGATCTCACTGTTGCCTTTGTGTGTATGTGATTCTTTTTTTAAAAAAATTTAAATTATTTATTTATTTTTGACAGGCAACGTTAGACAGTGAGAGAGACAGAGAGAAAGGTCTTCCTTCCGTTGATTCACCCCCAAAATGGCCGCCACAGCCAGTGTGCTGCGCCGATCTGAAGGCAGGAGCCAGGTGCTTCCTTCTGGTCTCCCAAGAGGGTGCAGGGTCCAAGCACTTGGGCCATCCTCCACTGACTTCCTGGGCCACAGCAGAGAGGTGGACTGGAAGAGGAGCAACGGGGACAGAATCTGGTGCCCCAACCGGGACTAGAACCCAGGGTGCCGGTGCCACAGGCGGAGGATTAGCCAAGTGAGCCGTGGTGCCTGCCATGATTCTCTTTTTAATTGTGTTGTTTTATGTTTCAATATCTGAAGATAAGACTTAAAATACTTTATGGTAACTCCAAGCCAGATGGTTGACTCTGGCTGCAATCCGTAAGAAGACAGATCTGTCAGGTTATGTTTGGAAATAGATGATGGGAAAAAAAAATCTGTTTATTTTTAATGCTCCAGTAGCTCAGCTCATTCAGTAAACATTATACAAGGAAGGTCGAATACCAACAGGCAGCCCTTTATTAGTGGTATTTTAAAAATATATTTAATTATTTGAAAGACAGTGTTACAGAGAGGCAGAGGAAAAGATAAAGAGATTGTCCATCCCCTGGTTCACTCCCCAAATGGTCTTAGTGGCCAGAGCTGTGCTGATCTGAAGCCAGGGCCAGGAGCTTCTTCCAGCATTCCCAGGCAGATGCAAGGACCCAAGCACTTAGGCCAACTTCTGCTGTTTTCCCAGGCCATAGCAGAGAGCTGGATTGGAAGTGGAGCAGTAGGGTCTCTAACCCGTGCCCATATGAGATGACAGCACTGTGGGCCGGAACTTTACTAGCTATGCCACAGTGCTGGCCCCTGGTGGTATCTTGCATTCCACCTGCATCCTGGTTCCTTTAGGTCTGTGTGACCATTAAGGACCCAGGCTGTGCAAAGCAGAAATGTCATTTACCTCCTCACTAGAGTCAATCTAGGAGAATCTTGATAATTCATTCTTTTTTTATCTGGATGGTAGGGTGTTATCAGTGGATTCAACATTCTTGGTCAGTATTTATTGTATTTGGCATTGGATTAAAAAGAAAGTGAAAGGAAATGAAGAGAAAACTCTTAAAGCATGACAGAACACCATTGTAGCTGTCTCATTTTCCCCCCTTATAAATGATGAATTGTCTTTTTCCTGACTATTTAATCAGGTCTTCAAAAAAAAAATGCCACTCCAATTCCTCAGAGATGCATTGTGGGCTGCATACACAGATGGTGGAGAGGCCAGCTCAAATACAAATCAAGCAGTGAAACTAACCATGGTGGGAAGAACACAGCCCTCTCTAAGTTTTGACAATAAACGGTCACAATATTTTTTGAGGTACACTGTGGGCTGCATTGCACAGCTGTTCAGCTTTAGCCTGTCTGTAGGCTTGTGACTAAGAGTTACTCTTGGAAACCAAAAAAAAAAAAAAAAAAATCAACTTCTCTCTGAATTGCAGACAGTGGTTTATTCAAGCCATTGTGCATTGTTGGTGGACAGTGACGCCAGCCTAATGAAGTTCCAACATTGTCTTTTGTCTATAGTCAGGTATTCCCTTTTAAGTGATCAGTGACTTAGGGAATAAAATAAGAAATTTTGCCAAATTAAATTGAGATCATGATTTTTTTCTCTCTAGAACTTAAGTGGAAAAATGTTTATATGTGCTATAATGTAAAATATATACATGACCTCCTCTAAATACAAATCAAAATGATCAGTAACATCTAAAAAATCAGGCCATTGAAGATTCTATCAATAATAGAACATAGTTAGCATTGTAGTAGCATATACCAGTTCCAGATAGCTACTTTTATCTCTATATACATTTGTGTGTCAGTTAATGGTGGGGTTGTTTTATAAGAAATGCATGCTTAGGCAGTGATCCTATTGTGTGAGCACCATAGCGTACACTTAACACAGACCTGGATGGTCACTCCCCAGGGCTTCTTAGTGTAATCAAGTAAACAAGAGCTGATGAGATTATTGCAATAAAATACCACATACTGTTTTACTGTAAAATTTTTATATATGTAGGAATACATTATACAACAACTAAAAAGTACAGTGTAGTAAGTATAGTAAGTACCTAGACAAGTAACAGTCATTTAGTATCATCAAGTCTCATATACTGAATATAATGTATGTGCTGTGCTTTCCTACAACTGGCAGCACAGGTTTGTTTACATCCCCAGCATCACAAATGTGATTAATGCTTTGCATCATGACCTTATGGTAACCATGA